GTGATAATATTGAATGCACTTCTGATAGTGATAATATAGAATCAGATCTGATAGTGATAATATTGAAAGCAAATTTGATAGTGATAATATTTAAAGCAAATCTGATAGTGATAATATTGAATGTACTTCTGATAGTGACAATATTGAATGTACTTTTGATAGTGATAATATAGAATGCACTTCAGATAGTGATAATATTGAATGCACTTCTGATAGTGATAATTTTAAATGCACTTGAATGCAAAGCTACCAATGATAACATTGAATATAATTTATGATATTTTGGAACTATTGACTTTGTTCATGTTGAATTTACAATATCTGTATGCAGCGCTTATTAACGGAACTCAGAAAACCAAATCAAAACAAAACGTCCGCTATTCCCCTACATTATGATAATTTGTCTCGTGCTTCTCCGTAATGAATTCATTATTGAGGTTATTCTGGCGCAGTGATGGCCATTTTATTATTACATATTTTTACCGTTACCCGACATCAATACACTTAAAGAATTCCGTGTAATATACGAGAAAAGCTGTTGATATAATACACGACGTATACATTACACTGTGTCTTATTATAAGTAATACAAGTAAGATATGGAATCATTTGCTTGAGTGCGCACGTTAGTCGAACTTATTGATATACTTTGTTAATGATATCCATTGTAGTAGACGTTTGGATACGAGGTGGGCGCTCTACAACAATGCGTGGTGAGCGCACCCTAAGGACTAACAAAGTAAAAAGTCAATACCTGGCAATTCTGACTCTGCATTCGCATTAATTAAATGACAGAGTCGCAAAGAAAATAGATTTAATACTAGTACATGTGAATGGCGACTTGTGATATGCCATGATAATAATTTCATTTTACGTCAAATCAACTTGACCTTGACAGAATGTGAAACATGGTGCCTGGCTATTTTCTTACATTTACTGGGAGTGGGTGTATACAGCCGTTGCTTAATTTCATTGAGTGATTGTTTTTTTTTTCTGCCTTCAAGCTTGAAATACTTGCCGATTATACTCACGATATAGTTGACGTCTGGCGTCTCTACGAAAAGTTGATGAAAGTCTGTCGGCAATATCACATCAAAGATCACCGAAAGCGAATACATGCACTTTCAATGATCTTATCTACAGTTGCATTTAACACTCAAATCGCCGATATAAAAGAGTTGAAATGCAATTTTTGTGATTTGAAATTATATATCATAAACTATATTGAACACTATGCACCCTAAATAAATGCAGTTCATATTTATGAAGGAGTCACATTGATTGATTTTTGGACTGATTAATCAATCGGGGGGAATTATCAACATGACAGAAAAAAATCCAATTTCCGGTTTGAACCAAACCATTCACTCAGAGGGTGGGTAGGTGTTGTATTGTAGGTACATGTTATTGTTTATGTGTGTGTTTCTCTTTAATTTTTCTCACAATTGTATTTATTTTTGTTTGCAGTCATTCACATTCCTACTTCTGAATATTTTAGTCATCGTGTGTGCCCTCTTCTCCATGGTCCTATCCGCCATCGGTGCTTACTGGGAGGCTACTATCGCTATATTGTACGAGAGTGGTGGGCTTGTTTTGTATATCCTTGTCGAACTGGCGGGACTGGTGGTGCTGATAATCTCCGGCATCGCGGCTTGTATGTATTGGTGCGGAGTAGGTGAACGCCAGGTATAGAGTATTGGAGTAACGTTAGTGTGTGTGTGCTTGGTATATGCGTCAGTGACATGAAACCTTTGTTGGTTTCCAGTCCTGAAATAGTATTGTGAAATTGTTCTAATTGAGATAGTTCAACATCATCCAATCAGCAAGCGCCTCATTTTGAATATGTAGGAGGCCATAGTTGTTATGCCATGTTAAGGCGTGCATGCGTATTACGAGTGTATAACAAAGTTCAGCTTCTGGACCAATCACTATCAAATAGCAGAATTTGAGTGAGAAAGTTGATGATCGTCTTTTACAAATTTGTATAAAAACATTTATAAACAAAGCTCCAGTTTTGAGCTTTTCAATGTATATCGACCGCTAAGTCGTGATGCGAAAGATAGATATTTGGTGTACTATTTAGCAATTTTTAACACGGCCAGTTACGACATAGGAAACACAAAATGTAGGATTTGATAACGTACTTTGACCAACATGTTATATACCACTGCAACACGAAAATGCCTATTTGACAAACTTTTTGAAAGGCAGCTGCCTCTTTTCCAGCAATTGTGAAAATGTAACGAGTATTTGTTTTTCTTTTGCAGATGTTAATGAACCAACAACAGCAACACTTGAAAGCGAAAATGTCCGGATTTAGCCGAGTGGTTCCTCCACGCGCTCAACCAGCTGCCTTCTATGTTCAAGGGCAAGTACAAGTAACGGTGCCGCCAGGCACAAAGTTGACGGGACAGGACAACGGATCAAGTGACATCCCCGTCGGCGGCAACCAGGTTCCGCCCGAGTACATTTCTTTACAAAACCCACCGGAATATAAGAAAGCGCCTCAAGCTGAAGAGGGTGTGTGACGCTATCATATACTGCAGAGATGGTCCGCTTAGAGATCGCTCAATGTGACCCAATTTATAGGACCTAAAATAACCTAAACTCACGTGTTTGCTTTGTATATTCGCAATAATTATGTTTTACCAGTTTCATTCTTGTAAATAACTGGTGACTTATAACACAATTCATATTGCATTCGACGACAGTGAAATGAAATGGAACATACAATGATGGTATAAGGACCAATCGCATAGAACCGGCATTGGCTTTATGTTGTGTCCCTTCAAGATGGTACTAGGCATGTCAACGCAACGTTTATGGGTATAATCCATTTCAAACAATGACCATGATACACTGGACCATGATACACTGGACCATCATACTGGCATTCCTCGTTTAAAACAGGGTAGTTGTTGTTACATATTATAATTACGACCAAATATTTCGGATGACGGTAACGATTTTGTCTCTATCATACTTGAATAAACCCGTTTAATTAATGAACCTTTTCTTCTCCTTTTGTTCTATTCCTCCTCAGTAAGTATTATATTGAAATTCTCATCAGTTGTCGCCAAAACAAAGTATTTTTATTGTTTCTGTAATCATAATCATTTCCTGGATCATCTATAAATATGTGTAACATAGCGTTTGATGAACGTGAATATAAAACGACATAATCTTGGCGAAACAAAGTGATTCCCTTCATCTTCATAAGTATTTATAAAAATTCACAATTCAAACTAAAACAAACGGTTTATATTGATTTATTGAATAACCTTGAAACGTTTTCAAAAGAAATTGAAATTTATAAATATTTATATAAATGTAGAGAATGTGCGGTTAGTACGGTTCACAAAAATGTGTTATCACAAACCACTGACAGGACAGCGACTGGCAACCATGGGTCGGAAGAGCCATTACCCGCTGTTCCATTTACTGTTGACTATGAACTCATGCACCCATGTTCAGTAAAGTTTATACCCCCTATCAAATATTTCAATTTGAAGAATCCAATTACTAGAAAATCGAAATATCTAATCTTATGTTTACTATTAACGAAATATCAATCAACAGTAACAATAACGACACATTTCATTGGATAGCACCTTCCACACAGAGCCAATAGGACAATCCATTTCAATATTGCAGCATGCATAAACACATACTGTACTGGTGATTCCACCATCAAGTCCAAAAAAGTGGCTTTAACAGCGTTATTGTAATAAGAGTTCAATTGAATATTTTGGTTAACTTCCGTTTAGGTAACAAGACATACTTTCTCTGGGCCGTTAACCAGTATCTAGAATCTAAAGTCACGATCAGAGTATGAATACAAGATAATATGTGGTCTTTTTTATGTATCGACGTTGAAATATCCTGTGAAATATCGTCTAAAATTATTAGCAGCATTTAGTGCCATATTTAACAGAAATACGTCTTTGATACGATCGAAATTATCCGGGAAACAAGGTCACAACAATGGCCGACACAATTCATACCAAGTGTAATGATAAGAATTACAGCGCCCACAACAGCACAGTCAATATACCAGATGCAAACAAAATATATTCTGACGAATTATGCGAAAATAAAACTGAAAATAATTCTCAGTGCTAGTATCTGTCACACCTTTTATTTTTGCAACAAAATATTCTTAAAAAAGAAATACATCGCCCGCAAGTTTGCAAAAACATATACTATATACTATATGATATATTTTTCTGCGAATTCCGTAAAAATAAAAATGCCCAGTGCTACAGTATGTGTCACACCATTTGTTTTTACACATTTTTAAGAAAATATTGAAAAGGAAAATTGCTTGGTAATACTAGTTTCTTACTATTCATGAATCCCCACATGGAGAGAACAGTATCTCCTCACATAGACAGGATACTATTTCCTCAGATGGACAGAATCTCCTTACATAGAACGGACAGTATCTCACCAAATAGAGAGGACACTATCTCCACACATAGATAGGACAGTATCTCCTATATGAAGACAGTATCTCCTCGCATAAAATAGGCAGTATCTCCTCACATAGAGAGGACAGTATCCCTTCACATGGAGAGGACAGTATCGCCTCACACAGAGAAGACATTATCTCATTGCATAGAGAGAACAGTATCTCTTCACATAGAGAGAACAATATCTCCTCACATCAGAGGACAGTATCTCCACACATAGTGAGGACAGTATTCCTCAAATAAAGAGATCAGAATATTCCCACATAGAGAGTACAGTATCTCTTCACAAAGTGAAGACAGTATCTCTTCATATACAGAGGAAAGTGTCTCTCACCATACATAGAACAGTATCTCCTCGTATAGAGAGGTTAGGATGTCCTCACATAGAGGGGACGGTGTTTCCTCACGAAGAGAGGACCAGTATCCCATCACATAGGGAGGACAAAATATCCTCTATTGTGAGGACAGTATCTCCTTACTTAAAAACAACAATATCTCCTCGCATATAAGGGACAGTGTCACCTCACATAGAAATGACAGTACCTCTTCACATAAAGAAGGCAGTATCTCCTCAGATAGAAATGGCAGTATCACTTCATATAGAGAGGAAAGCGTCTCCTCACAGACAAGGGAAAAATTTTGCTGACATAGAGAGGGCAGTATCTGCTGACATAGAAAAAGTAGAGGCGCCAGGGTGATGGATTCATCTATCAGTGTTCATGTAACAACAACTCATAACAACTTCAAATTTAAACTAATATGTTATGATATTTTAATTCACGTCATAGCTTAACTGACAAATACACGTGTATAACGTTCGATTCCCCATGGAAACACGTAACAACGCTTGACCCCGTGTTCCAATCACCATGGAAACACGTAACAACGCTTGACTCCGAGTTCGATTCCCCATGGAAATACGTTACAACGCTTGACTCCGTGTTTGATTCCCCATGGAAACACGTAACAACGCTTAACTCCGTGTTCCAATCACCATGGAAACACGAAACAACGCTTGACTCCGTGTTTCAATCACCATGGAAACACGTAACAACGCTTCACTCAGTGTTCCAACCACCAAGGAAACACGTTACAACGCTTCACTCAGTGTTCCAATCACCATGGAAACACGTTACAACGCTTCACTCAGTGTTTGATTCCCCATGGAAACACGTTACAACGCTTGACTCCGTGTTCCAATCACCATGAAAACACGTAACAACGCTTGACTCCGTGTTCCAATCACCATGGAAACACGTTACAACGCTTGACTTCGTGTTCCAATCACCATGGAAACACGTTACAACGCTTCACTCAGTGTTCGATTCCCCATGGAAACACGTTACACGCTTGACTCCGTGTTCCAATCACCATGGGAAACACGTTACACACTTGACT